GGGGGGGGGGGGGGTTGGATAAAACAAACAATTAATATGCTGAGATATTACAATGGGAGTTCTCTGAGTCCATCAGAAAGTAGAATCTGGTCTGGATTACTAAATGATAAACAACTCTAGTCAGTGCAAAGCAGTGCAAATTCTCAGGTATTGACAAAACAAGGCTACAGTTATGAAGTACTAGTTTATTCCTGATGGATAACAGTGTAAGCTAGGTGATGAGAAATAAGAGTTATTATTTAACTTTTTCTAACCGCGATTGAGATGAAGAATAACTTGGTATAATTATGGAAGGACAGTATGAACCAAGTGCTGGTATAAGCCTCAATGACATTTTTGATTAGATGAGTTAGAATTTTAGCAAGTAGTAGTAATGGTTTCCTGGCATCCTTTTCCATAGTAACCTACAGTATGAATCTAAAATACTATCATCCAGGGTTGTTCCTTTCTGTGTAGAGTCAGTAGTGCATTAACATTATAAATGCAATTTCTCAATGGAAATAAGACTTGACAGTTCTAGGATGAATAATAAATTGCTGCACACCAGCAACATAGAATGAAGACCCCACAAGGGCAGAACTCTTTGTATACCATGAGATAGGTTTAGCAGGGGCTAGAAAATGAGACAGACAGAAAACAAAAATGGCAGTGGCAAAAACTGTACCGCTACTGGGTGTTTAGATACCTCTCTACTCTACTGGAGCAATTGAGCTGAGTTTCAATGAGCGGATATTAGGAGGTATCCTTAAACAATAATAGAACATTCTCAACTCCATCTTGTCCAATTTACTTATCCATATACCAATATACAAATAAGAATAAGACAATAAAATACTTCTTTCACAGTCCTTGCTCTTTCCCCATATTGACACATGTTGTATTCTGACTTAACAATGTCCTTAGAGACTGGGCGCTTAGAGAAGTACCTATGAAAAACCTGCCACATCTCTTTGGCTTGGAAAACATGGCACGTGCACATATATGGCAGGACGCTAAAGAAGTAAAACACTTTGTCATTTCTATAACTGCAAGTAACCATTGGGCCTTGTGGTATGAATGTACCATCAGACAATAGCTGAAATAAGTAAAATATACAAAAATCTCATGGAAGCAATTGAGAATCCAAAACTCAGAACATAAAGAATACAAAGAATCTCCAAACTATTGTTTGAAAGGGCAGAGGTGATGTGAGAAAATGTTATTTAACCACACATATCTGGGGTGCGTCCACACATGCAGGCACGTGTGCGTGCAGCAGCTCAAATAGAAGTGGTGCAAATTTGAGCCGAGGCTTTTTGCCTCAGCGCACGTGCCAGACATGCACTTTGGTGTGGGGCAAATTGTGCCACTTGGGGAAAAATAATCCTGCCTGGCTCCTCCCGGATCTGCAGACAGGGGGAGCTAGAGCCTGGAGCCAGCGCCTGTGGCCCTGGCCAACTGGTATCTGGGGACACTAGCCGCTTGTGCCAGCTGGATTGCTACAGCAGCATCCCCAATCCATTTTTTTAAAACACCCCAAAATCCATGTTCTTCCACAATTAAAACAAAAGACCACTATACACACAACGCTCACAGAGAGAGAGAGAGATCAGTTGGGAAATGCTTTATTGCTATATTTACAAAGTTAAAGCAATTTGGAAGCCTACCAGTGTCTCTATCATCATAATAAAAACAATTCTAAATACCTATATGTGTTGATGTGTGCTTTTGGTTTTCTTCTCACATGCTGGGTGTGTGACAGGGGGATTGCAGGAGTGGGGTGGGAAGGGGTGTGGAGGGGGATGCAGGTTGGTGTGTGGGTAGGTGTGGAGCGATTGCGGGGGGAATGTGGGGGTACCTTGTTGAGGGCTGCTCAGGAGGGGTGGGTCCCCTGGCCCCCACAGGGTGCAGTCCACCCACACAGCACATGGACTGCCCCCCCGCAGAACCACAGCCCCTCCTCCCCCACCCTACAGGTTCCCGGGCACCCTGCAGGGCCACAGCCCCCCCATGCAGGGCCCACAATATACCCCCTGCAGCAACAGTAGGAGTGGGGTGCTCATAGCCTGCTGCTGCCAGCCCCCCGCAGCATGTCCCTGAGCAGCTCAGAGCTGGGGCTGCCTATGCTGCTTGTCAGGGACCGGCACCTCTCACCGGCATCACCCAGGGGCTGGCGCCACTTGTGGGCACTGTGTGTCACACCAACCCTGATCCTGCCAGCTTTAGGGCAGCTCATGCTGCCAGGACAGGCCAGTTCCATGGTGCCAGGACCCAGCATGGTGCTCAGGGACAGCATGCTAAGCTGAGCTGCATCCTGCCAGCACTAGGACTGGCACCACGAAACTGGCCTGGCCTGGCAGCGCGAGTGGCCCCAGTACTGTCAGGAGCTAGCCTGGTGCAACACACAGTCCCTACACACAGTGCCAGGTCCTGCTGCCATGGAACCAGCTTGGCTTGGCACTGTGAGCTGGCCCACTGCCACCAAGACCGGGCTTGGCTTGGCGTGGCGTGCTGTACCTGCACACTGCGCCAGGTCCTGCCTGCAGTGGCGGAGCTGCTTAATCCATGGTGCCTCCAGGGAGGAGGCGCGTGGCAGAACCTGACCTGGTGTGGCTCGCTAGCCCAGTTTTGTACTGGAGCAGGACGTGTGGCTCCAGGAGGCATGGCTCCTGTGCAAATGCATACTAGATGCAAAGCCTGGGCCAGATTGGGTTGAGTCAGGCCAGTGGGGTGCATTTTCCATGAGGCTCAGGCGCACCTGGAAAATTCACCTCACCAGCTCAATCTGGCCCAGGCTGCGCAGCTAGTGTATGTTTGCACAGGAGCTGCACCTCCTGGAGCTGTGCATCCCACTCCAGTGCAAAGCTGGGCTAGTGAACCACTGCCTGTGCCCACAGACAGTGCTGTACAGGCCCTGCCGCAGCCCCTGCATGCCACCTGCTCTGCTGTAGCCACCACGCACCACCAGATCTGCTGTGGCTGCCACGTATCTCTGGCTCCACGCTCTGGCTGCTCACCAGCCCCTTGCTCACCAACCCCTGGCCCCGCATGGGCTGATATGCCTCGGGCCCCACACACCCCTAGGGACAGCTCTGGAGCTGTCACATGCCTGCCCCCACCCCACTCAGTGGCCGCAGTGCTGGCAACAGTGGGCAAGCTGAGCTGTGGCGGCAGCAAAGCGGCACTGTGTGACCTGGGATCCATACAGGTTGAATGGACCTGCCCTGGCCCATCCAATGCCATGCACTAGCCACACAGCACCGCATCACCACCGGCTGTGCCTGCTGCCACCAGTGCCGTAGGAGCTGGGCAGGGGGGCAGACATGTGGCAGCCCCTGCTCAAGACCCTCCACAAACCCACCCCCATACAGGCCATCCTCTCTCCTTGTTCCCCACACCCTCCAACATCCCCCTCCACTTCCCATAGTCCCCAACAACCCCCTCTACTCCCAACACCTCCTGACATCCCCCACCACTCCCCACACCCTTCCAACATCCTCCTGCCAGTCCTCACACCCAACCATGCCCACCCATACCCATAAACCACCCACTCCACATCCCTAACTTACCCTTGATAGCTCTGGGGGCAGCAGGAGCACCACAGAGATGCTCTGGCCAGAAACCAGAGCATCTCTTCTGGAGGACCGACTACCGGATTGCCTCCAGGCATGGTCTTGACCCGTGCCTTGCCCTGCTGTTCCACAGTGCATTTTTTTTTACCTCTGGATATCTAGGAGTCTAATTTTGCCCCTGCGCTGCAAATATGCAGTATAGGGAACTTTTTTGTTCCCACACATGTGTCTTGTCATGTCTCAAATGGGTTTGAGATGCTGCAAGATGCACATACACCCATGAAGTCCAAGACTGTTTAAGATCATGTCATTCTTTCATACCCATTAGGTGTGAAAGTATGGGTCAGAACTCAAAATTCTAATAACAGGTGTTCTTTAAAACACTACAGTATTACACTTGACGTGTTGATAAATGAAACCTCCTCAGTATTAAAACAAACCTTTTTTGGCTTGAAGTAGAGATGCTTGCAGTTGGACTTTCCTAACACAAAGGGCTTTACATTGAAAACTTCAGTGCAAGCAGATACAGCAACTATTTTCAATCTCCAAGACTTGAAGCACTATGCTCATGAAAATTAATCAACAGTATTTAAGATACTGAAAGAGTCCCACTTTTAACCTGATACCTGATATAACAAAAACTAGAACAGTCTTAAAGGACAGCACATTTAATGCACTTAAAAATGTAGGTAGACTAAGTTAATGAAGTATACATGCGATCAATGTTAATGCCACTGAGCTGTACTGATAGCTTGTGGAGTGTGGCAAAAAGGGAATTCATAGCTTCCCAATATTCTGTACTGCACATCTGGTTGATTATATTGAGGTATATTAGGTCATCAGGAAGTTGTTTCCATTGTCAGACACGGTATACTCGATTCCGTAAATTATTTTTGTATAACAAATACTATGTTGAGGAAATCCTAGCCTCACATTAGGAATTAGAAGGGGGCGGGAAGGGCAGGGGGGAAGGAAGCATCTAA